CTTCCTCATGCTTGAGGAAATACCTGGTGTGTGGGGGGACGCCCCTCATCCACCTGGCTTTGTGTTCACGTGAAAATCTTGTGATCTTGCCTGTGAAACTTTAGGATAAAAGACTTACAGTTTGCCCCATTAAATCGGCTTCTGCACTAGACAAAGTCCAGTCTCTTTCTTTCTCCCCCCTTCTCTTTCTTTCTCTTTATTTCTCCAGAATAATCACCGACGCTGCCCCACCTTCCAAGGAACCTCTAAATCTCTCTGAAGGGGCTGGCCCCCCGTAATTGGCTATCCTAAGTATCAAATGAGATATTAAATATCATAAGTTTTTTTATAAGTTATCTAACGTGCCAAATAGAACTTGACACATAATTAGCCTTTTGGCTGTTAAGTCAGAATCCCACTTTGTTGTACAGGGTGGAGTGCGGTGGCACAACCAGGGTTCACTGCAGCTTCAACCTTCTGGGCTCAGGATATCCTGCTGCCTCAGCCTCCAGAGTAGCTGGAACTATAGGCACTTGCCTCCATGCCCAGCTAATGTTTTGTTTGTTTGTTTGTTGTAGAGACGCGCTCTAGCTATGTTGCCTAGACTGCTCTCAAACTCCTCAGCTCAAGTGACCCCCCTGCCGCAACCTCCCAAAGTGCTGGGATTACAGGCATGAGCCACTAAGCCTGGCCCATAAATAGTATTTTAATAAGTCACATCATGTCCATTGCATATTTTCAAGAATTTTATAGCCTTTTTTTTAACCTTAAAGGGTAAGGAAGCCCTTGAGAAATACTCACTCTGAGCTAAAAACTGGTTATAGATATTGGAAAAAATCTTCATCATTACAAAGAGGATTTCCCCCAGAATTTTCAAGTGCCTACAAAAATTGATTCACCTCTCTTACCTTGTCCAGCGTTTTCCTTTTTGATAGTATCATTTGGGGGAACAAAAACAAAGTTAAGGTGACCTGTCTGCTATAGAACTCTGTGAGAATTAGACAGCTGGAAAGCTAAAGCCAGTTGCCCACCTGGCATTTATTATACAAGAGCAATGTTGTTCTACAAATTGAATTCTATCCTTAAATGGCTTGAGTTGTTATATGAATTGAAGTGGAAATAGGTGAATTGGATGAAAATCATTAGCTTTTTTTCTTTAGACTAAAAGACGCTATCAGATCAGTAAAACATTAAAAATAAACTTTTAAAATAGACCTGGATTTAGTAAATCAAACTAAACTCAAATCTCACTTATGCTCTCTCCCACCCTGCCCCATCTGTCTTCTCCCCAAACACACACACCTCATACATAAGTGCGCGCGCACACACACACACACACACACACACACACACACACACGAGCACATATATGCACATACATAATTTCCAAGAACCCAAGCTTTATTAACCTTTAAAGTCATTCTCAAAACATATTTTGAAGAAAGAATGCATGCAATTATCTAGATATTTATATTTTAATTTTTTTCTGACAAATAATGACAACTAAAGCATTTTTATTTCATTTTGTCCATCAATTATCATTACTGTTATTTTTGAGTCTTGGCTTTTTATTGAGAGAAGAGTTATGACAAGCAGTAGATCCTTGAGATATTATCTAGATTTATTTTACTTATTGACTAATTCTTCTTCTTACTTGCTTGCTTGTCTCTATTACTTCCTTCTCTCCTTCATTTCTTCTTTCTTTGGGGAAGTATTGTATGTATTTCATTTGGAGCCATCACTCCATCATCATGTGTGTATCACTTGTGAATGAATGAATGAATAAACCTTCTCTGACTGTTCAAAATTCAGACTTTCCTATAGCAAGTATTTTTCTCCAACTCCCTTCCCCTTCCAGCCTACTTTCATAATTCCTACAACTTGGAGTCAAAGAGAGCTTACAGCCCCTCAATGGGCAACTCCAATTTTGCAGATAGAAAAATGATACTGAAGAAGTACAAGGATTTTGAATTCCTAGAACCACTCAGAATATTTTTCTCATCTCAGAAAAATAACTAATACAGAGAGACACAATGAGAAGCTTTTTGAAAGGTGATTCCCAGAAAACTTAAGCTATTATTTTCTTTGTCATTTCTACACATGGATAGTCCAAAAGCCACTTGCTTTTAAAGTCAGAGTAAATTAATGACATTAGTGATTATTTAGAGCTGAAAAGTGAATGAGGTCTCTTTGAAAGAAGATATATTCAGATCTGTTACTTTCCAGCTTCATTTAAAAATACAATTGATCATTACATTTCTCAGGACTGTGACTTCATAGCCACACAAAACACCAACATTTCTTTCATGCAAACTTTCATGCTGAATAAGAGACATCATTTCCTCAGCTCTCTCCACCTGTAAAATTTATCTCGATATTGACCTTGAATCTTCAAAATTAAGAGCATCTTTCCCAAGAGTACAAATAAGGTCTCTAGACACCTCTTTCAGCTCTGATGTTTTGACTTTATTTCTCCATCCTGCTACTATAGAGAGATCAAAATCTGAGCTGGCAGGAAAGGGTGATGGCAGCCAGCAAATGAATAAAAAACAATACTAGGCTACGAGTCAGAAAATCAGACTTTTGTTCCCATCCTTCACCTAACTGGCCTGGTGACCTTAGACAGATTAATTTATCACTTTAGGGTGGTTTCCTCATCTTTAAAATAAGCATTTTGATGTACAAAAACAACAACAACAACTAAGGTACCTTCTAGCTCCAAGTAGTTTATGATTCTGGTTCAGTTTATCTCGGCTTTGTCACAGTCTTGTGTGGACAGCCTTTGTTGTGGAGGGAGGTTTTTTCCTTCCAGATCTATTTGCAGGTATTTGTTGCTAGAGTGCATTGCCTAATGCCTGTCTCTCCTCATTCCCCACAAGAATAGTCAACAGCTATTAGTTCCATGCCTATTGAGAGCTAACCAGATACCAGGCACTTGCAGCACACCAGGATTCAGGCACAGGCAGCTCAGAGCCTAGAAAGCGCTTCCACTAACAAAGAGGATGGACTCCAACAACGTCCTGCCCCAGCAGAAGTTCTGTCTACTGAAAAGAGAGGGAACACAGCAGGAGCAACATAAGTAATGTGTCTGAACCAAGCTTCCCACCTTGCGAGGGACTGGGGTAGATTTCTTTTTTCCAGACTAGATTCGAGACTAGATTCTAGTTTTGTTTTTCCTCCAGGAAATTTGTTATTGAGATAATCAGTTTTTAAATCCAAACTAAAGGCTTATTAAAATAGTTTTGAACAATAAATTATACAAAATGGCCTCAACATTCTGATTCAGGTAACTAGAGTGACTTTTGCAAACAGACCTAAATCGTATTTAGTTGGGGATCCCAACCCACTTTACTTTTAATAGGTGCTTCCTGGACATCAGTAACCAAGCTTGGTCTTCATACAAAGCCCAGAATGCCTCCATGTGACTTCACGCCTGAACGATACCAGGTAAGATTCAGCACTTTAGGAAAACCCAAAGATGTAGTTTCTCTTGGGATGGCTCAACTGATTGTTTCCTTAAGAACGACCCACAAATATGCTTTCCACTAAGCAATCCTATCCCAGATATTCTATCCTTTAAATCATTGGGAGCATTTGAAACTCTCTTTCTCCACTTAACACTAGTGTATGAATTGTTGTGCACGTGTGGAAGAGAGAGAGAGACAGAGGTAGACAATACAAGAATGAGACTATATATGACAAGATGTGTGTCACAGGGAAATGCACACACATATCACAAATGTGATGGCTCACATTTGCTTTAAAAAAAAAAGTTGACTGACTCATGTGGCAATGGATAATCTGATCTCTCTGAGTCCTCTACCAAAAATTGTAAAATCATCTTTTTTTTCCCCAGGCTAATAAAAATTGGTTCTCTCTCTCTCTCTCTCTCTCTCTCTCTCTCTCACACACACACACACACACACACACACACACACACACACACAGCAACTCCTTTATTCTAGAAATTGTGGAATTAATAGATTAGTAAGGAGGAACCCACAAAGAAGCAAAGTATGGGAGAGTGATTTTATGATTAAAGACAAAAACACTACTCCATTTTATTATTATGTTAAAAAAACTACAACAAAATAACTTATTTGCTTAGACTAATTACTTATTAATTCAGACATTTATTCCAAGACACTTTTTATTTATAGCTAATATCAGCTCAAAGCCAAGGCTTTTCATTGAGAGGTAGACATTTCAGCCCCTTTCTTCATGTTTGTTTTGGAAAAGGATTGAAAGGCTACAAATAATAATTTCACCTTCTTAAGAGGAAGGGCTTTATTTTCTCGCAAGGAAGATACTGGTGAATACACCCACTTTTGAATCTCTACAGGGCAGCAGCCCTCTGCTCAGTACACAGGAGAGACCGGGCAACTGTTATATTGACTGCTATTGATCTTGTAAGAAGTGTGAGATAAGGAAAAGATATTTTTAAATCTTGCTTATCAACAGTCCCTTGCCTACAACCGTGTGCTGGAAATCCACAAGCAACATCTTTCTCCCGTGGTAACGGCGTATTTCCAGAAACCCTTGCTGCTCCACCAGGGGCACATGGAGTGGCTATTTGATGCTGAGGGAAACAGATACCTGGATTTCTTTTCTGGGATTGTCACTGTCAGTGTTGGTCACTGCCACCCGTGAGTATCCTTAAAGTCCAGGGGTTTTTATTCTAGAAGAATATATGGAAAACAATCATGTTAGTGACTCAGAATCCTTAATTTGCTCACCGGTTAAAAAATATCTATTACAGATTGTCGCTGGCTTGCTCCCTGCTATTTTCTGGCTTAAATATCTTGACACTGTACTTTTTCTTTTCTTGACAACACCCGATTTTGTCATCCTCATTGCACATGCAGTGTGGCATGTGCCATGTGATTGGAGTGTTTTTGGAGAATTACTGTGTGTGTTTCTCATTAGCAACACTTTCCAAAGAGAAGAACACAGTGAGGGAACGGCAGGAAGGAAAGGAAAGGCAGGTGGCTCTCAGAGGAACACCAGGGACAGGTGCCATGAGAGATGAAAAATAACTAATTTCTAGCCAGAGAACCTTCTTCATGGACTCTGAGAGATGGAAGCGGGAAACAAGAGTAATAAGAAACAGAGACACACTTACAGCCACCCCAGCATTAACCTGCTGGGCTTCAGTGATCCATCTGCCTCAGCCTTCCAAGTAGCCAGAACTACAGGCACATGCTACCACAACTGGCTAATATTTTTTTTTTTTTTTTTTTTTGTAGAGATGAGGTCTCGCCAAGTTGCCTGGACTGGTCTTGAACCCGTGGGCTCTGACAATCCACTCACCTCGGCCTCCCAAAGTGCTGGCAGTACAGGCTGAGTCACCGAGCCCAGCCAGAACAATTAATCTTATTGTTCACAGCACTGATCGTGAACTCACCCACACAAGTGTTCTTGGCACGTTCTTCTGTAATCCATTTGGTTTCTGTGCAGCCATCTCATCTTTATGTCTATTCCCTCTTGCCTTTAATACTATGACCAATAAAACTCACATAAAGTGGGGGAAAAAATAAAGCAGCAAGTCTCAAGTAAATTGAACAGGTTTGGGCCCTTCTGTCAAAGCAGGAGGCAGAGTCTCCTCCCCAGACAGCAGTCAGGAGGTGAGGGGTGAGTGTGTCTCAGAGCCCAGCCCTCCTCTCTTTCTCCCCTTGCCTTTTTCTACCTTTCATCTTCAGGAGGCACCAGCCCTATGCAAGGTTCCAAGGTGCATCCAGAATTCATTTCAGATGCAATGTCAAACATACAACAAACATACATGGAAGTAGGTAAAAATTGGACAGAGAACAATTTTAGACTTTCTCATTGAATCCTCTCGATAACAGTTGACGCTGTCCCTATTAATGGACTGCTTGCACCGGCTTTCACAACTTTTGTGTTTCTCCCCATCTCCATCTGGCCCCCTAACTCCAGGTGTCCTCAACTCTTTCCTTAGCCCTCTGTTCTCCTCTCGTGATGCTTTTCCTTCCTTACTTCCCACCACAGAATTGACCCCACCACATCTACCATTCCTGCTCATGTACTTACTCTACTTTAACAGCATTGTCCAACTCTTTGTCTTCAGCATTGGACCCTCACCAAGCTATAATAATCTCTCTAATAAGCCTCAAGTGGGTGGTAAGATGCCTCATATTGCCCACTGCCATCTGGGATACCCCCTGCCAGATGGATATTCCACCATCAGCTCAAATTCATTATTTTCAAGACCAAGTCTATCATCTCCACAAAACCATTTTTATCCCCACATATGCATTTAATCAAAGGGCACATATGAACCTCGTACTCTGGGAAAGTCCTCTGCTAAAAGCTGGGGAGCTAGACATTTTGTCTATGGTTCTTAACTAATCCTGGGGTTTCCCTAGCATTCCAGGCAAGAATGTTACCTTATGATCATCTTTGACTCTTCCTTGCCTTTCATTCCTGACAGCCAATCTGATGCCAAAGTCCAGTTTTCCCTGCACTGAAATGCCTTCCTACTATCCCACTAATTCCCATTAACACCAGTCTCCTGGTAGCTCTTCTCCAACTCCTGGAAGGCTGACATGCCCACCTGGCTGGCCTCTGCCTTCTGCCCCTCATGTGGCTCTCAGATATATTTTGCTAAACACTACTTGTGTCAAGAGTTTCTTCTTTTTAAGAGTTTACTGATATTCCACAATTTTCTAAAGTGAGTTTCACAGAACACTATCCAGGATAGTTTCCATGGAGAAGGGTCCCATGAGAACATAAGTTTAAAATACTCCCTTATCTTCCTCCTGGAGAAAAACAATGTACATTAGGCTACTGAACACAGTATCAAGTCCAGTAGTAAAGAAATCTGTTTGATCTTATATTTCTCAAATTTATTTATCCACTCAACTGATTTTTTTCTGGTATGAAAGATACTGATAACAAACACAATTGTTGTGTAACAAACTTTAGCAATTGCTACCATTTAGATCAAGTCCAAACACCTTGGCCTGTCTTTTCATGGTCTTCCTAGTCAGGTCCCACGTATCTATCTATACTTAGTTCCTACTAGCCCTCAGTATGAACCCTATGGTCCTATAAGATTGGCCCAATCCTTGAAAGAACTTTGCTTCATTGTTACAAAATGTTCATCCACGCTGACCACTACTCAGACCCAGATACTGGAATATTCTTTGAAGAAAAAAACTGTAGATCTTAACTACATGTGGAGGCACATGCCTGTGGTCCCAGCTACTCAAGAGGCTGAAGTGGGAGGATCACTGTGAACCCAGGAATTCGAGGTCACAGTGAGCTATGATCCCAACACTAGACTCCAGCCTGGGCAATATAGTGAGATCCTACTCTAAAACAGGAGAGAAAGAGAGAGAGTAATTGTTGATCTTGATGTTGTATACATGTGCTTGACAAATCTATACTTCCTCAGAAAAATAAAATGGGAAGATACTCAGGCTTGCATCTAGCCATCTCTATTTCCAAACTGTTCAAAAGATACTTAATAAGAAAGCATTGTTAGAAGAAATTCTAAGCTCAAGCACCCTTCTAAACAAGGCATTTCTTTTCTAAACCCCTTCACAGGCAATCACTGAGTCACCTTTTGAACCCTTCTCTTGTTGAGGAATTCATTACCTTTTGAGGCAAAGCATCCTATTGCCTGACACCTGTAGTGATTAGAAGAGTTTTTTCTCATGTGTGGATGAAATCTGCCTCTTGAAATTCTTTGAGAAAAAGCAATATGTTTGGGTTCAGTGGTCAGGGTGTGTAGGAGGGATATGGCTGCACAGTGTGGGTAACTTTGCTCTCCTGCCTACCCAGGAAAGTAAACACAATAGCTCAAAAGCAGCTTGGTCGCCTGTGGCACACAAGCACTGTCTTCTTCAACCCTTCCATCCATGAATACGCAGAGAAGCTTTCAGCACTTCTTCCTGAGCCTCTTAAGGTACGATGTTCCCAGCTCGAAGGGACAAGAGCCTCTGATTCCAGGAGAGATGCCCTAGGAAGCAGGAATATGGGCAGGGAATTTGGTCTGTGCATTAACATCTGTAATGGTGAGTTTATGGTTATATCGAATTGCTGGTGACACAAGACAATGTCCACAGCATCATCTCTGAGCCTCTGCCTCTCCTTGGTGGTTCTCACCACCTCTTTGCAGGAGCACCAGGCCTCCTGATGTTCTCATCTATGTCCTCAGGAGGTTTTGATCTCTTTGCTCCATAGTCTCTCTGCAAAGGTATTTGCATTTCTTCTTTTACAAAGAGTGAAACCATTTTTTTATAAATGTCATTCAGTCCATTTGGTCTAAAATACACTTAGATATTTTTGCTAAATAAGATATTTTCCTGCATCTGAAATGGCTTAATTTTTAAACTGAATTGAGATGATAAAATGTTGGCCAAGATTTGCACTTGGGCATTAAATGAGTGAATATGTATTAAGAACTTAGAACAGTGCTGAGTACCTGGTATTGGCCCTTATTACTTTTCTATATTATCTGGAATAGATGAGTAAACTTGGAATAGCTACAACCTAAGTTCAGCCCCAGATGTCCCCAGAAGAGCAGAAGCTGAGAAGTCAACAAAGTCACAAGCACATGCCTTCCAGTCCTCGGGGCTAGAGGGCACAGCTCCCTTCAGTTCTCCCTGTTCTTTTGTCCAGGATGAGCTGCATTTTTTGCTTGTTTGCTTTTTTTTTCCCCCAACAGTCACACACACACAGTACAGTCAGGAACAAGCCCTGAGGTTGCAGGGCTAGGGGTCCTGCCTTGTTCCAAGCCTTCAGAATCACGTGGCTGGGTTAGTTTCAGAAGCCAAGAGACCCAATTATCAGATCTACTGTGTTCCGCTCAGCAAGCCTCCCCATCTTAGCATTTATTTGATGCAGAGCAGCAAATACAGCCAGTGAAAGTCGGGTATATTTCACAGCGGAGCCATTTTTGTATGTCTGGCACTTTATCAGCTGCACAATGAAGGGCTATAGAATTCATACAGTGTTAAACAATGGGACTACTCGAACCCAAGCTGGTCTGAAGGGAACTCCTCTTAACAATCAGAGACTATGGGACCTTCAGCAATTTTGAATAAATTGGGTAATAAAAAAAAAGAAATTAAAGTGTGAGACCAAGTGTCTTCCTTCACCTTCCAGGTCATTTTCTTGACAAACAGCGGCTCTGAAGCCAATGACCTGGCCATGCTGATGGCCAGAGCGCACACAAACAACATAGATATCATTTCTTTCAGGTAATCATACTTTTGAATATTCCACCTAAATGTGTGTCTTTAAACTGTAGCACGGAGAGGGAGAGAAATTTTCCCAGGTATATTTTTCTAACTTTAAGTTGTAGGTAAGGATCAGTCAAATGAATTTTATGACTGGATAACTCCATCCAAATTGACCTGATCTGAAACTGGGGGCCCCAACTGGTCATGAACAGCTGGAGTCTTCATTATCATAGATCCTACTGTGGCATTAAAGAGAAGGTCACATGACAGTTTTTAACTTTGAAGAGGTGATAGGGACTATAGCATATGCCAAGTAGTAAATGCTCCATACCCTAGAAGATCAAGCCTCTACCATATGACACTGGGCCTGTTTTAATTTCTGCTTATGATAAGGAGTCATACATTTATTGCACAGTACCAGCTGCACCTGCTTTTCACCTTTTATTCTCTTTATCTATAACCCTATATGTTTTTGTTCTTTATATAACTTTTGAGAATCAGTAATTTAATAGAGTAATTATAAACCTTTATTAGTTACATCCACATTAAAAGTAATAGAAAACTAAGAATTTTGCTCACAGATGTCTCCAGTGGGTAATTTTATATAGCACATTTAGTCTCCTATAATGTTTAAGTAATGAGTAGGCGTGACTTATAGTAAAAGTTGATAGGATGAAGAAATAGTCCCAATTTTTTTTTGGCCATAATATCTGTCTAAGTTCAGAAAAAGATTCCATTTTATCCTTACTATAGCACATCCAATACTTCACATTCCATATAAAACAAACATGCTTATTACAGGCATAAGGAAAACTTGTTACCAAAGAAATATGGCAATAAAGAATTATGATTCATGCCTTACCTAAATAACATTCCAGAATATGTATATACAGATAAGTATTGATCTATTTGAAGTAGTCATGGTAACTACCAGGGTTTAACATATGTTTTGTTTCTTCTTCTAAGATACATAACCATTATTTTGAATAGTCTTAATAGTCCTGAATCTTTGTTTAGGGTGATTTTGATGTGGGAAATTGTTGAGACTCATTTAAAGTCAAGATCAGTGATCAGGAGGACTTACACTGAATATGACTGTTTCAGGTTAAAAAGTGTCTTTTATATACCAAATAAGATGCCTTATAAAACACTTACAGAGGAGTCCCTGAAGATGTTGAGCAACAGCTGTATCACAGGAAAAAATATTTGGCTTCCCAAGGTGACTACTTTGAAGGCTAGTACTCATTGAACGTGTTATCTCTGACATGTGGCTAAAAGATAAATCTCATTGATTTAGAGTGTTAGGATAGGGTGGGTCTAAAGATTGGGGTTCTAGGCCAGATAACCTCCAAGATTTCTTTCACAACTTCAAATCTATGACACTAGTAGAAAAAATAAACAAGTACATTCACCTAACATAGGCTTGGAAAAGTTTTTAGAAATTACCGGAGTTGAATGTTGATGGTGTTCTATTGCATCTCCATAGCCTTCATGAATTTTCTTTTTTGTCCTACTCAGTGGACCACAGACCAGTGATCAAAGAAAAGTGAACTTAACCCCATCCACCTGTTGTTTTTTTTTCTCTCTCTCTGCAGAGGAGCCTACCATGGATGTAGTCCTTACACACTTGGCTTGACAAACGTAGGGCCCTACAAGATGCAGCTCCCCAGTGGGATGGGTTGCCAATCAGTGAGTGTGGGAATTCTCTTCTTCTTTCTTTAAAGACTGCAGGGTTTGTGAAATAATAGATCAGGTATTCCTGATATAAGGATTAGAAACTAATATATAGCCTTTTCATTAATCAGGGGCTCAATTTGACATAATTAAAGGTTATTTGGGAAAAATGTTAGAAAGGCTGTCAGAGACAGAGTAATATAATAATAGGACTTTTTAAAATTCATTTTTCTTTTAAATAAAATGAAGTAAACTTCAAGGATCGGAAAATCTTGAATGCACGCAATTTCTGTAGAGTCATCATTGTCCTCACCTTCTGTTCTCACTTCTTGTTCCCACCATTTTAGCACCAGAATCAAATACCTAATTATTCTTATTCTTTCAGATGCCCTTACCCACCTTGAGCACGTTGTTTCCAGGCTAACACTGAAATCAGTTTCCTTTGTAGAGTGCCCACACAACTGATTTCTAAGAAAAAAATTATCTCTTCAAAGTAGAATATTTGATTTTCATCTGAAGTGGGGAGAAATCCAATTAAGAACTCCTCTTGCCTTGATTGCTACCATATGCTTCCCCAAATTGGCCGTCTTGTGTTCATGATCTGCCCAACTCCTTCCTTTGTCATTTGCAGACAATGTGCCCAGATGTTTTCCGTGGCCCTTGGGGAGGAAGCCACTGTCGAGATTCTCCAGTGCAAACAATCAGGAAATGCAGCTGTGCACCAGGTCTGACTGGGCCAGGGAAAGGGGTGGAGTGGAAAATCGAGAGGGAGAAGGAACACAGATAAAGGCAGAGCCATCCCCAAATGAACAATTAAATTCTGAAAAATAGGGAAGGGAAAGCCAAAGAAAGCAAAACTAGAGCAGCCAACAAACACATGAAGAAATGTTCAACCTCACTAATCATCAGGAGATGCAAATCAAAACCACACTAAGATACCACCTAACTCTAGTCAGAATGGCAATTATCAACAACTCAAAAAATAACAGCTGCTGGAGAGGGTGTGGTGAAAAGGGAATACTTCTACACTGTTGGTGGGAGTGTAAACTAGTGCAACCTCTGTGGAAAGCAGTGTGGCGATTCCTAAAAGCTCTAAAAATCGACCTTCCATATGACCCCACAATCCCCCTACTGGGAATATACCCTGAAGACCTCAAATCACTCTATAAAAAAGATACCTGCACACGTATGTTTATCGTAGCATTGTTCACAATAGCAAGAACCTGGAAACAACCATGCTGCCCATCAAAAGAGGACTGGATTTAAAAAATGTGGTACATATACACGATGGAATACTACACAGCCATAAAAAAGAACAAAATCATGAATTTCACAGCAACCTGGATGGAACTAGAGTCTATAATACTGAGTGACCTCTCACAGAAACAAAGATCCAAGTATCACATGTTCTCACTCATATAATGGACCTTGAACGTCCAATGTAATACTATAAGGAAATGACTGATGGTACTGGGAAACTATGGGGGGGGGATGGGATTAACAGTCGCAAATATCTGTCTGGGGATGGGAAAGCACCTCTTATCAACAGCGTGCCTGAATGAAATGTAATTGTACATCTAATCCTTAACTGTACCCCACAAAATCATAATAAAAAATATTGATTAAAAAAAAAAAGAAAGTAACCACATTGCCCTTCGTTGAATCAACACTGCTCATGCCTACTATCAATTTACTCAGTATCCAAATGGCTATGTAGAAAAGTGTCTCATGCTATCAGAACCCAGTTGGAAAAATAGACTCTCATCCGGTACTTAATTAAAGGAGCTCTCCATTAGCTCTATTAGCAATAGCTCTGATATCAAAATAGATAAATAAAAAGAAAACCAAGTCAGGCATAGTGGCACATGCCTGTAATCCCAGCTACTTGAGAGGCTGAGGCAGGAGGATGGCTTGAGATCAGGAATTTGAGGCTGCAGTTATCTATGATTATACCACTGCACTCTAGTCTGGGTGACAGAGTGAGGATCCATCTTTAAAAAAAAGAAAGAAAGAAAAAACCCAAAGTAATCACATTCTTCCCTATGGAAGAAGGAAGGAAAGAATGCTTTTGGAATCTCAAAACGCCAATCTCAAGTTCTCCAGGGACTGCAAGCCAAAGTGAAAGCATCTGTCAAAACACAAGGTTGCCCTTCCTGAAGGCTGCTGACAACTCTTGCAAAAGTTTTAAAGTTTTAAAGGCATTCTCACAAGGAAAAGTTTGATCTATCAGTAGTGTTTTTATTTGCATTCTTTACCTATTCTTAACATGAAGGAGAGGAGGCAGAGAAGCATCATCTGTTCCTTGCTGATCAGATTTGTCGTCACAATCCAGGAGCTTTTGAATAGCTACTCCTGAGCAGTTCTGAAGGAAAGAACTAAGCACTCCAGTTCAGAGATTTTTAATGGAATAGTATGAGTCACTGAGTTGAAGAATGCAAAATGGAATTCGTAAAAACCAGCTCTAAAAGGAAGAAAACTCACAGTCGTCTTAAAATTCAGATGAGATGATATCAAAATGGAAGGAGGAAGAACAGAATAAGTCTTGGAACAGGACAAGATGTCATGCTCACAGAATGTAAAACCCAGAGGAGGTTTAAAGCTACAATTGAAACTCTCCACTGTAAAGAGAAGGAAAACAAGGTTCACACATAGGAGAGGAGAGGGCTAAGATTTAATCCCAGGCTTTATGACTCCAAAGCTAGTGCTCCCAATACCTATGACCACCCTCATTCACACTGATGTGCCATCAAGATGAGCACCAGCTGAAAAATAATTGCGGTTCTGCAGCCAGAACTAAAGTGATGCAGGACGCCAAGGAATCTGTATTCCACCCCAGGCCTCCCATGGTTCAGCTATAAACAAAAACCTCACCTTTTGCTTCAGTTTTCTCATTTGTAAAACAGAAATACAACATGTGGTCCCTGCCACCTGCATCACAGTGCTTCATGAGATCAAGGCATAAAGAGCTATTTGTAGAGGAAGGCAGATCATAGCAACATCCAGTAAAGCCAGAGCTGAATATTATATCAACACAGCATCAAGAACTAAAATCAGTTGGATGCACCTCACAAATCCCAGGCTGAAAGCCAAACCAGAGTCTAGTGGACAGAAATACCCAAGAGGTGGTCAATTTCCTCCCCTCCCTACTATACATGTCTCTCTCCCTCTCTCTCTCCATCCTCCCTTCTCCCTCATTGAGCCTTCTCTGCCTTAAGCCAACTTGAAAATACCAGAACCTCAGGGTCATCTCTCTAGTGGCATCTGGAGGCTAAACGATAGTGACAATTCTGAAATGTCCTTGGCATATCTGAAGTCAGATGTTTTGTCAACTCAACTCATAAAAGACAAGACTGATTATCATATCTTTAAACAGGACTGGAATACAAAAAGGACTCCAGCTTCTTCCTGTGCCTTTAGGACCTGAAAAGTGTTTAGTCTTCGCTGTAAAATCAGTATATTCATATGTTTACAAAAACATCCCCACATGTACAGTACTTTGAGTACAGATGGTTCCAGGTCTCAATTCCTCTTAAAGTTAATCCACTGAGCACTACAGGTACTGACCATGGTGAGGTTTTTTTTTTTTGGTGGGGGGTTGTTTTTTTGTTTTTTGTTTTTCGCCCCTGAAATAAGCCATCACTCCCAGCAAGGAAGGGGGCCATTTTGTGAGTCTAACATAGATGTTTATGTGGTAGATTTCATTATCTTTCTCTATCTGCCTCCCAAGAATTTTTTCTCCCCAGGGTTTCATTCCAGGTCCTTTTTTTCAGCTGTAACCCATGATGAGATTCACATCTCATGACCTGCTGCCCCCACAGCGTTTCAAACCTGCTACTGATCATGGCATTCTACTTTTAGAAGTTTTCTTTTTCTTAAACACTGTTGTTCTTTCTTGGCTACTTGCTCGCTTAACTCTTTCTGTACCACCAGCTAAAACAAACACTTTTGTCTACTCTGTTGTGGTCTCCAGCAGAGTATCCTCTCTTCACTCCCTTGGTGTTGTCATGGAGACACCAATGCACTAAGACTCTCTGCAGAAGGGGCCTGACCTGGAGTTACAGCCAAGGAAGCAAGTGTGAAATAAAGTAAAAAACCTCATCACAGCCGATGATCCTCTCATCACTGAGCATGTAGGCAGAGAGGAAAAAAATCAGAGGCCTAGCTTAGCTTCAAGAAAAACCTTTTGATTTGGTTTTGCCCAGATTTTAGCCATCGGGGTTGATTTTACTTCACTTTTTGATTTCTCTAGCTACAAATGGACTTGTTAAATCTCCAAATTATGTCTTTTGAACATATATCTGGTCCATCCTTTGGCGTTATCTGAGGCTGTTTTCTTTATTTCCTAATAAAATAGGGAGTTTCAATCTCTAGAGTCACAGATTTTTTATCTACTATATTCTGCCCATCAAGACAGTATAAGCGATCTAAAAACATACTTTCTGGATTTAATATCCTTATAATGATTCAACCTCCACCTCCAACTAACCAAAGATATCAAGTACCTCTGTCAGTCAAGCTTTCCCAAAGACACATGTAACCTAAAAGGATGTTTGGGGCCAGGTTGTATTTTCTCCACTTTTTACTGAAGAGCCAAAATAAACAATATATTTTTGCTTCAGTCTTCATGGTAATTGCTAGAGGTTGCTGTTCCTCATGGACACTGGGCTGCTTCTACGCCTCTAAGCAAGCATTGGGATGGTAGATGGAGACTCCTCTCTCAGACTGTCTTCACTGTCATTGGGGCTGAGACTTCCCTTTCATCCACATCTTCCTCTGCATTTCTTCTGCTTTCCATGAATATGGGCTTAAGCTCAGACTGTGTGGTGCTGTTTAGAACCAAATTATAGATGTGAATAAAAATTCTGAAGGTTCAGTCTTGTGTGGATGTAGTTGATCTTGGACCATGGTATTCCAGAGAAGAAAGCTTCCTCTCTCTTGCTTTTCCTGCTGTTCCCACTTTCTTTTTTTTTTAAGCAAGATTTCTTGAGAAGACAGAAAAGCTGCCACAGTGGGAGGGGACCCCAGGGGGTTGCCCCACTTTCTTTTTTTTTTTTTTATTGAGTTGGAGTCTCACTCTGTCGCCCAGACTGGAGTGCAGTGGCCGCTCCCGGCCACCGCAGCCTCGACCTGCTGGACTCCGGCGATCCTTCTGCCACAGCCTTCCAAGTAGCCGGAATTACAGGCATGCGCTACCACGCCTGGCTGATTTTTTGATTTATTGTAGAGATGAGGTCTCGCTGCCCAGGCGGGTCTCGAACCCGTGGGCTCAGGCAATCCACTCACCTCAGCCTCCCAAAGGTGTGGGATTACAGGCTGAGCCACCGAGCCCAGCTGAGAGCCCCACTTTCATGAATGGATTAAAGTCATTAAAAAATGGTTTCAGGAGTGGGAGTCAATTCTAACTATACAATATTCTGGAAAATGCAATTCTTTAGAGAGAGTAAAAAGATACATTGTCAAAATGGGTTAAGAAGGTAAATTTTATTATATTTAACCAGTTTATATATGTCAGTAAAAAGAAAGTGGGAAAAAAGATTAGTAGAATTGGGGAAGAGATGAATAGATACA